GGAAGCATTTAATAGTATATAATAGCAAACAAAAATAATAATAATCATAACAATATATCCATTGAGCTACCACTACCATGCCAGGATCACAAACAGAACATCATGCAGTTAAATATACAGTGACGTGCACCTGAAGATAGCTATGTACACATACATATACGCCGATCTTAACAGACATTTAGGGTACAAATTAAAACTAGCAAAACTCCATAACTTGAACAATCAACATCTAAGGGCTTAGATACTCAGGGTTTGACAACTGGGTAACAAAAGCCACAAGTGAAGGTTGATCTCCAGGTTGAGTGCCTACAGAAACAAACATAAAATAGAGTGAGTCAAGCTCAGTGAATAATAATACATAACAATTCAATGCTCAACGTGAATTATAATCCATATCCGTGTGTTTATCAATAAAGAGAAAGCCCATGAAACTTGTGATGGCATAAAGCCCATGAAACTTGTGATGGCATAAAGCCCATGAAACTTGTGATGGCATAAAGCCCATGAAACTTGTGATGGCATAAAGCCCATGAAACTTGTGATGGCATAAAGCCCATGAAACTTGTGATGGCATAAAGCCCATGAAACTTGTGATGGCATAAAGCCCATGAAACTTGTGATGGCATAAAGCCCATGAAACTTGTGATGGCATAAAGCCCATGAAACTTGTGATGGCATAAAGCCCATGAAACTTGTGATGGCATAAAGCCCATGAAACTTGTGATGGCATAAAGCCCATGAAACTTGTGATGGCATAAAGCCCATGAAACTTGTGATGGCATAAAGCCCATGAAACTTGTGATGGCATAAAGCCCATGAAACTTGTGATGGCATAAAGCCCATGAAACTTGTGATGGCATAAAGCCCATGAAACTTGTGATGGCATAAAGCCCATGAAACTTGTGATGGCATAAAGCCCATGAAACTTGTGATGGCATAAAGCCCATGAAACTTGTGATGGCATAAAGCCCATGAAACTTGTATTGGCATATAGCCCATGAAACTTGTATTGGCATATAGCCCATGAAACTTGTATTGGCATATAGCCCATGAAACTTGTATTGGCATATAGCCCATGAAACTTGTATTGGCATATAGCCCATGAAACTTGTATTGGCATATAGCCCATGAAACTTGTAATGGCATATAGCCCATGAAACTTGTATTGGCATAAAGCCCATGTAACTTGTAATGGCACAAAGCCCTTGTAATGGGAATGATTTCAGTCTTCTTAAAGTATCAGTATGCAATAATGCACATAAGTTTCCCCATGGCCTGATTACAATTTAATACAGGTGTCTCGTGAACAACTGAATAATAATAATCATATCAATTATTAACTGAGGCCACATAATAATATTAAACATTGCATGCGTGTCACAGGTTCTTGATGACCTCGGGTCCATAAGTAACACAATAGAATAATCTCAGTTTCATACAGATACTTGGCTTAAAGATGAACATAATTCTACTTATTCATTAAGAAACGACGTAATTTGCTTATAGATAATAGAGAATTTATCATTCGCTATTGATAGAACGAAATCATTCTAAAGTCATACCGATATATGCCATTCTTTCAACATCCACATTGACTTTCACTCATCATAATTGTTCATGTAACATGTTCGTGTAACACTTACAAGAAACAGAGCGTTAGTGATAATAAGTATCAATAATCAATAGAATGTACATCTTCGTACTATTACTCACAGTGTGCTGGTAGAGCGTTTATTCCTCCCGAAGCGTGTCCTACACACATATGAGGTCACACATTAATTTTCTGAGTCATTTCCCCTAATTTCCTTTCTCATTTTAACATGATTCACAATGCTCATAACAAGGTTCATTCGCAAATTTTAACATTATTTCAAAACATCTCAAAAATCCAATTCAACTTGTACATGCATAATTCAACCCACCAATTTCATGATTCTATTTTCCATTTGGGCAAAAATCATTATTTAGCATCACAAATTAACCTAGGGTTTCAAGAAAAATATAAAGTTTTCCATAAAAAATACAAACTTCTCATACCATGACTTTACATCCCAAGTTTCTCCTTGATTATACATCTAAGGGTCATACTCCATCACCTTAACCCATCAATTGAACCCTCAATGCTTCAAACCCGAAATTCCCAAATCTCATAATTTACTCTATTTGCTCAAAAATGCAAATCCGTATATTTATACAATGGAAAGATCACAAATCTATATTTTGATGTAAGTATTGAAGAGAACTAGGACTCCTACCTCCATAATCAAGCAAAGAAGTGAGCTTGAGAAGAAGCCTTCGCAAATCCGAATTCCAATCGGGTAAAAACATTGATCTTCTCTTGTTCTCCATCCTTGATGCAAAAACCATGGTGGATTGTTGCTCAAAATAGAGGAAATCAAGGTTTTGAGGCTAGGGTTTTGGAGGGTTTCGGACTTAGGAGAAGAGGAAAGAAGAAAGGGGAAAGAAAATGTGGAAAAAGATCTCAAAATCCCGTTTTTACGCTGCTGTACTCGCCAACCCCGCTCGAGCGTCCTTATTCCCGCTCGAGCGTACCTGCTCCCAGCACAGATCCCAAAACTTTAATCGTGTATAACTCTCTCATCCGGGCTCCGTTTTAGGCCGTTCTTGTGTCCAAATTGAAGCCCCGGAGATAAGCTTTTCAATGGTTCTAACCTCACATTAAAATTCAAAGTGTGGGAAAAGAAAAGGGCAAAAGAGTGGCTGTTGAACATAAACAAATTGTTCGAATTAAAGTTTTTGGTCCCATCTTACTTCACCATCATATTACTACCCCAAACAATATTCCAAAATAAAATAAGAAGATTCCAAATACACCACTACAATGTCAAGGGAAATCTTACTTCTCACGCTCGAGCGTCGCTTCAACCGCTCGAGCGCGCACAGACTAATAAAACAGTCCGCTCGAGCGTCAACTTCTCCGCTCGAGCGGAGATTCACAACTCCCAGAATCTCAGGCCGTCTGCAAAATTGCTGAGAACCCCAAAAGTCCGCTCGAGCGTCAAATCCTCCGCTCGAGCGAAGGGAAAAAATTTTGGGTCGTCACAACCCATGTGCTGAGGCTTGGCAAGGAGTTCAATGTAACACTAACAATTCCATAATCTCTATGTATGCAATCCCTTCTCTTCCTGCATCTTGAATACTTAATGTTTATGGACAATGTCAACTTTCAATCCTCTTATAATTATCCGGTTTTATAGAACTCTTATTGGTGCTAATTTGGGAAGACAACAGGGTACCGACCTAGGTTCATTTACTTCTATCCAAACAATGTATGTGCCTCTCTCTCTCTCTCTCTCTCTCTCTCTCTCTAAGTGCATTTGGTGTTTCCATTTTTGATGGATAGTGGTATTGGAAAGACTTAATAGATTCTTCATTGATTTTACTTTTAAATATCTTCCCTCTTTTTTTGGTTTTTTTGGTTCATTACCAAGTTGCTTGACAAAGTGATAATATTTTGTCAAGGATGAGGATTGAGTGTTATAGTTCCCAATTTCTTTTAATTCTCTTGATGGACTATGTATCTAGATTTTGGGGGGACTATATATTTCTTATAGTCCAACCCTCATGGGATTAGTAGAACCATCCTGATCAGCTGACATGGGATCTTTCTCTTATGTGATCTGCAAGATATTCGATGTTGCCCCAGTTTATACTGTGAAATGAAGTCCCACATTGCTTAAGTACTAAAGTAATGTGAAGTAAATAAGCATGAGGGCACCTTCACCTCAATAGCTAGCTTTTCTTGTTGATTTCTACCCAATACTGTGTAACATGTACTACTCACATTTCATACTACTGGGGAGGGTTGTCTGCAATACCTTCTCTAGATCATAATGTTTCATTTTTCTTTTAATTCACAGGATATTCAAATTTCTCTATTGATGTTGCCTTTAACATGTGTTATGTGCCATTATTTTGTGGCAGAGATCTAAGCAACAACCACATTGGGGGTAGCATTCCGACCAATCTTCCAGTTACCTTGCTGACCTTGTATGTGCTACCATATTAAAGAATATTGCATTCAATTCATGTTATACTTAATTTTACCTGTGAACTTGGATTTCCTTGTTTTTGGCCATCTACTCTTGCAAAATATATAATAGTCTTTACTTTTGGCAGTTTTCTTTCAGATAACCACTTCACTGAAGGCATCCCAAGTTCTTTATCCTCTCTAAGTCAACTGCAAGCTATGTATGTTTTCACTTTCCTCTTGTTTGTATGTGTTCTGTGAGTTGCTTCCTTTTTCTAAACAGCTTGGTTTTCCTTAGCAGTTGCTTTCTGTGTTTCAGTTCTCTGAATGACAATCAAATAACTAGAGACATACCAGATGCGTTTCAAGGCCTTACAGGATTGGTCAATCTGTAAGCAAATTTCTTTGGCAAGCTTTTCATGGTCAGGTTTACTTTCATAAGTGATTGCCATTTATCTTTGTGCAGAGATTTATCCAGAAACAATTTGAGTGGGCAGCTGCCAACTTCACTGGAGAATTTGTCATCTCTGACCACCCTGTGAGTAATTTATCTCAGTGAGGCACTTATTTTGCACCTATTCCATCTGTGTGAATAAAGCTAACATAGTGATTGACAGTCATTTGCAGAACAATCAACTTTCTGGGGCTCTTGATGTTTTGCAAGATCTTCCACTCAGAGATTTGTACTTTCTCAACCATGTCACCTTTAAACCTCAGATGGAGTTAAATTTTTCTAGAAATGCTTTTGTTCTGAGGGAAACAACTAAATACTATTTTCTGAAGTTGGTAGGGTGAGATACCGCTATCTCAAAGTTTTCTAACTTGTGTTTTCTTTTTTTCTTTCTTTTTTATCAGGAACATTGAGAATAATTTGTTTAATGGACCTATACCTGACAAGTTGCTGAGCATTTCTAATTTCAAGTGAGAGCTGTGAGTAATTTATCTCAGTGAGGCACTTATTTTGCACCTATTCCATCTGTGTGAATAAAGCTAACATAGTGATTGACAGTCGTTTGCAGAACAATCAGCTTTCTGGGGCTCTTGATGTTTTGCAAGATCTTCCACTCAGAGATTTGTACTTTCTCAACCATGTCAGCTTTAAACCTCAGATGGAGTTAAATTTTTCTAGAAATGCTTTTGTTCTGAGGGAAACAACTAAATACTATTTTCTGAAGTTGGTAGGGTGAGATACTGTTATCTCACAGTTTTCTAACTTGTGTTTTCTTTTTTTCTCTCTTTTTTATCAGGAACGTTGAGAATAATTTGTTTAATGGACCTATACCTGACAAGTTGCTGAGCATTTCTAATTTCAAGTGAGAGCTACAATATGTAAAATTTTGGTTTATTTGTTACTTCTTTTTGTTACAATTAGAATTTATGCATAATTTAAAATGGTTTGGGATCAAGTTCGACATCTATGCGTACTTCAATACGTGAGGTTTGGGTAGATAATCAATATTTTAATGTTACTTGATAATTATGCAAAAATTCCCTGAAAACTTCATTACTTGCGGAAGCACCCAAATCAGTAGAAAACAAGCAGTCACGTGTTTATTCCCTCAAATCCAGCTGGCCATGGAAATCATATTATTCATACCCGTTGTTGACCCGTTGTTGAGAACACTTTACTGCATCTTCGGTTGCCAATTGCTGAGAAGTCTTCACTGCATCTTAGTTTACTAGCTCATTTTTCTGGATGAATGAATTTTGTAGTAGTGTTTGATAGGTTCTCAAAATGAATAGTCTGATATTCAACATTTTATGCTTTATCAGACTATTCATTATATGCAAGCCAACAAACGGGACCTCGATTAGATCTCTAGTTAGAAAATTAGAAGGAAAACTGTAAAACACAAGACTTAAAAGGCCCGTTCGGGGGCCGAAATTACGAAATGACCATCGAAACCACCGAAACTTGGCACGGACTGCTTGTTCAAGCCTAAATAGACTTGTAGGAACAAACGAGACCTCGATTGGATCTCCGGTTAGAAAATTAGAAGGAAAATTGTAAAACAAAAGACTTAAAAGGCCCGCTTGGGGGTTGAAATTGCGAAATGACCACCGAAACTTGGCACGGGCAGCTTGTTCAAGTCTAAATAGACTTGTAGAAACAAACGGGATCTCGATTGGATCTCCGGTTATAAAATTAGAAGGAAAATTGTAAAACACAAGACTTAAAAGGCCCGTTCGGGGGGCCGAAATTTTGAAATGACCACCGGAACCACCGAAACTTGGCATGGACATCTTTTTCAAGCCTAAATAGACTTGTAGGAAGAAACGGGACCTCGATTGGATATCCGGTTAAAAAATTAGAAAAGAAAAATGTAAAACACAAGACTTAAAAGGCCCGTTCGAGGGCTGAAATTTCGAAATGACCACCGAAACCACCGAAACTTGGCATGGACAGCCTTTTCAAGCCTAAATAGACTTGTAGGGACAAATGAGACCTCAATTGGATCTCTGGTTAGAAAATTAAAAAGAAAATTGTAAAACATAAGACTTAAAAGGCTCGTTCGGGGGCCGAAATTTCGAAATGACCACCAAAACCACCGAAACTTGGCACGGACAGGCTTTTCAAGCCTAAATAGACTTGTAGGAACAAATGGGACCTCAATTGGATCTCCGGTTAGAAAATTAGAAGGAAAATTATAAAACACAAGACTTAAAAGGCCTGTTCGGGGGCTGAAATTGCGAAATGACCACTGAAACCACCGAAACTTGGCACGGACAGCTTTTTCAAGCCTAAATAGACTTGTAGGAACAAATGGGATCTCGATTGGATTTTCGGTTAAAAAATTAGAAGGAAAAATGTAAAACACATGACTTAAAAGGCCTGTTCGGGGGCCGAAATTTCAAAATGACCACCAAAACCACCGAAACTTGGCACAGACAGCCTTTTCAAGCCTAAATAAACTTGTAGGAACAAACGGGACCTCTATTGGATCTCTGGTTAGAAAATTAGAAGGAAAATTGTAATACACAAGACTTAAAAGGCTCGTTCAGGAGCCGAAATTGCAAAATGACAACCGAAACCACCAAAACTTGGCACGGACAACTTGTTCAAGCCTAAATAGACTTGTATAAGCAAACAGCACCCGATTGGACTTCCCGTTACAAAATTAAAATCAAAGTTGTGAAGTTCATATCGAGGTTTTTTTTTTTTTTTTTTTGTCAATCTAATATTATTTTTTCTTTTTTCATATGACAGATTGGCAATGGTGGAAAATAGTTTGGGCTGCATCAGAAGATTTAATTTTGTGTTTTTGGAAATATTTTGACATAGGATTTTGGTAAATGATTTGTGAATTAAATGTTTAGCATCAAAATATTTGGTGTTGTGTTTTTGTAAATATTTTGATATAGGATTTTAGTAAATGACTTGTTGGTTAAAAGTTTAGCACCAAAATATTTGGTTGTGTTTTTGAAAATATTTTGACATAGGATTTGGTAATGTATTTATGGGTTTGATGTTAATAGTTTGTAAGTACTTTGGAATGCATGTTTTAGATTGGCAGGGAATTGTAATTATGTTTATTGGGATTTTTCATAGCTATTAATTTTGAATTATTATGAATGTCTTGCACATGTGTATTATTAGTTACATTACATTTGTGTATATATTGTGCACAGGAAAACAGGTGTTTTGGATTATTTTGAACAGGAAAATTGTTGAAATCAAAATTTGTGTAGTGAATTTTTAGTGACAAGTGGTATTTTGGTCGCTGTTAATATATTTGGCGACAACATATTGTTTTTGTCGCTAAAAGTTAGTGGTTATTCCAAGAACTTTTAGCAACCAAAACTTACTCGTCGCTAAAGACGTGATTTTTAGTGACCAAATTAATTTTGTCATTAAATAGTACTTTTGGCGACGCATTTATTTGTTGCTAAAACTACATAGCCTATCCAAATTTTAACCTTTTAGCGACAAACTGTAATTTTATAGCGACAAATTATATGATTTTTGGCGACAAATTTTGCTCGTCGCTAAATGTTTACATACGGTGACAATTTCTGCTTTCGTCGCCAATACTTTTAGTGACAGGCTTTTGGCGACCAATTGTATACTTGTCATCGATTCTTTTGGTGACGAAATTTGTAATTTTGGCGACCAATTTTTGGGTCGCCAAATGTGTTTTTTGTTGTAGTGATGAGTGAAGCTGACATATATATGGAATCCAATGACTGTTTAGGCATATGGGTCCTGGGCATTTTGGAATTGTGGACCATATGGATCTTGACTAGTAGATGCTTCAAAGGAGGCTGAATCGTTTGAAGTTTCTTCTTCAATTTGTGACTTGGCTTGGGCCATAAGGAGTTTAGCCATTTGGATTAATTCATCACTGTAAGTGGACTTGGGCTTTGCTATGGGCTTTGACTTGGATGACTTGGATTTGGAGAGCCCAGAACTGGCTGTTGCGCTCCCAAGTCTAACTGTTGAAAGTGGGTTTCCTTCTGTGACTAAAGCAGCTGGGTTCTGTTGAGAGGACTTGACCGTTGCAGGAGTTGGAGAATGAATATTGACTGGAAATTATTACTGGACTTGATCAATTATGCGTTGGAATTTAAATGCATCCCACCATTTAATAAAATGTTGTCGGGTGACTAAATTTTTAGAAATAGCATATTGCCATTTAAATATCCAAAGAACTTTATACTTGGACATAAAATGGAGTAACCAGGGAAATTGACTTTTGTGTGGTCTAAGTTTGTGAATAGTAGAGAAATAATTGACTTGTTCCAATATGTTGGAAGGGATAATATCGGTGATGGCACCATGTTGAGTCCACCATCGTAAAAACCAGGTAGGAATTTCTGACTTGAATTTGTGATCAAATTGAAAAAACCAAGAGTGACTAAATGACTCATTTTAATGTAGAAGAACTTTAAACCAAGCATCAATATAATCATAATAACTGTATTGGATTGTATGACTAGGTAGATCTCGAAGTTGAAAAGAGGGACCCCATTCATCAAGAGAACAATATTATGAATATAAAGAGAATGATAAATGATTTTACTGGTGTAAACTCGATCATAGATAGGTTTAATGACTATTGACTGATGATGGAAAATGATGTCTTTATAGAAGGTAATTGACTTTTCAGGATGGAAAGGAATGAAATGCCATCCTAGACGGAAATATGATATGACCAAATCAAGAACATTTTGAATATTCTTGTGAACTAGTTTTTTGAAGAAAAGATTAATTGACTGGGTTTTAATATAATCAGTTTTGGCTGGTTCTGACTGGATTAGGAGGATAAGAAGTAAGTGATTGAGAGGAAGCAAATGGGTCAGAAGCAAGTATAGAAGTATAACTTGGTTTACGGACATTACCAAGAATTTGATAATGGTTGACTAAGTCAATTGGAGGGGCAACAATAGGTTGACTAGTTGGAACCATGGCAAGTTTGGAGGAAGGCTTTTGACTTGACATGTAACGACTCCAAAACGCATATCAGAAATTATCCTTATTTAATTATGGATTAATGTTCTTTAATTTAATTATCTCTGTTTGAATTGAGAAATTAACTGTTGAGTTACGCCCTTGAAACTAAAATTGTTGACTTTTAAGAGTTCAGAAATTGAAATTGAGTATATAGATATGCTAATGGGAATTTTTAGAGTTATTTGGGAAAGTTAATTGGAAATAATTTCGTCTGATTCGTTAAGGTGTGTTTGGGTGGTTAACTTTGCACTACAAATTGAAGACCTTAGAGGCTTCAGAAACTAGGACGGAGTACATAGTTATGATCAACATAATTTTTAGAGTCATCTAGGAAGTTTAATTGGAAGTTGATTTCGTACGATCCGTAAGGGCGCGTTTGGCTCTCCCCACTTATGATAAGCTTTTATATATATACATAGGATATGAGTTGTTGAACTCATCAATTAGAGTCCAAGAATATCTAAGGGAGAGGGAGAGAGAGAGAGAGCTTCTCTAAGAGAGAGAGACCTCAATATTCATGGGGGTTTGAAGATAATTGAAGAGATTGAAGAGAAAGGAAGAAGATCAACCATGGACGCTTGGGAAAAATTGAAGAGATTTAAGGGAAAAGCAAAGATTGAACTAAGGTATGGAAATCTATCTTGAATCCTTTTGATTAATGCATCAATTTCATGAAATCATAATGATATTGGAAGCTTCAAAGCCTATTTGGCTTAGGGTTTTATGAATGTATTTAATTGAGCTCAATTTAAGAAATTAGAACTTGGGTCCTATGATTTTGTTTATGATTAAAGCTCAACCTTATGAATACCATATGAAATGAACTCTAGATTGTCCATAGAACAAGATTATGCAAGAATCAAGTGTGTTTGTGGGTTGTGTTTTGAGAACTTTAAAGATTATGAAAGATAAAGCATTGATCTTGAACTTGAGGCAAAGATTGATTTGTTTGAAAGGGAATTACACTTGAATGATGTTAGTTTATCATGTTGTGGGGTAATTTTACATGTTTTTGGGTGATTAGAGTTGAAACCAAGCTTAGAAATGGAAAGAACAAGTGTTAGAGCCAACAAACATTTTCGGACAACAGAATTTGCCCAAAGCTGCACGTGCGGCGGGGTTTCCCGCACGTGCGGTAGTCCATTCCAGCACCCAAAAATGATTCTGAAATAAAAGCACCTTGTCCCACACGTGCGGCTCAATTCCCACACGTGTGGCCCTATTTCCCGCAGGTGTGGGACAACCCTGTTTCAGCCAACTTCAAATAAGCATATCTCTTGTATCCAGACTCCGTTTTAAGTGATTCTTGAGCCTAAATTCAAGCCCCAGAAGTCTAATTTCCAATGGTGGTGGTCTTATCCCTAAATTCTAAGTACACAAATAGATATTCTCAAATTAGTGAAGGTTGTTCACTTTCTGTCCAACCATTTCATGCCATTTTCTCATCTAACCCAATCTCCTTTCATTTCTTCCTATCTTCCTTGACATGAATTATGATTCATTAAAGACCTATGAGTTTAGAACCAACATAACTAATTGATCAAACGTTGCCATTCATTCTCATCACTATCAGGTACCATCTCTAACAATGATCTCATCCATCAACCACCTTCGCCTACCATCTCCAACCGTCGATAATTACCTTCTGTAACCCCTATTTTCTCTTGTTGTCAAAACAAAATTTTAAAATACTTATATACGTACCAAACATGTTTTTGTTTTCGTTTTTCCTGAAAATAAACATAAAAATGTTTAATGTTTTTTATAAACAAAAAATAAAAAATTGTAAACTTTACCAAACAACACCTAAATAATTTCTCATTTAAAGGGAGATTGCTATTTCTAGAGCCTCTAAACATACTCAAAAAAATGGTTGAATAGCAATATTTGGTGATTTCTTTTTCTTTTTTTTTTTAATTAATACTATTATACCTCCAACAAAGGATAAAAATTTAAAAAATTATTTCTCTATACTTTCTTTGCACTAACTCTCAATAAACATCTTCTCCCATTTGAGTCACCATCACCACTACCTCTATGATAGCCACTCTAGTCCTTTTCCACTTCCGATTACCACACCCCAACCATTACCTACCCTCCCAGCCTTTCCTCAACTCCTCCAACCCCTCTTTATTTCTTCCATGATTCTTTTGATATCTCTCTCTCTCTCTCTCTCTATATATATATATATATATATATGTTGAGGTAAAGATAGGCTTAGGGTTCGAATGGTTTTCCATCTTGGGGGTGGAGCTAGGCTTAGGATTCGAATGGGAGAGAAAAAAAGGGGGTTAGGGTTGTTGGGCAAAGAAATGGAGGGGTAAGGAGCGTTAGGCACTAAAGAGGAAAGGGTGGGGGCGTTATGTAATGCCCCGAAACAAACACAATATATCCATCTCGTTATGTAATGCCCCGAAACAAACACAATATATCCATCTCATAACAACCAATAAATAGAAACATAAATAAATTGATAAACTTTCATCAATCAGAGTTTGATATACACAAGGTGACACATGTGATATACATTCATAAATAGTACATCATGAATCTACAACATGTGTTACAAGATAGTGAGAAAAAATGAAATCTAAACATATAATCATATGACCTAAAGGCTTACATCTTTCCAAGTCAATGCTTGGGTACATCAAAAGTGAGTCTTAAGCTCAATACAAATAAAACCCTAGGCTTGCACAAAATTAAATACAAAATAACAACACTGAGCCTTTAGCTCCACAATCCTTCCAAGCTAAGTCCTCGGTGGAAACATATCACCAACACTTGAAAATGGTTTTTCCCACATAGGGTGAGCCAAAGCCTAGTAGAAACACTACAACACAATGTATAAATCTTAACAAAGCCATAAGGTGTTATAGCAATTCCAGCTTTGACCAAATCCATTGGATATTCTGGAGCTCGGGTTTTATGGTTTCCAAATGTTGATCATGTCTTTTCCCTTTTATTCTTGCTTGAGTTTGGTTATTGAGTTGGTTGGAGCATGTTTGGAACAAGATGGTTACATAGTTTTCAAACTTTTGTTGCCCAGATTTTTGCTCTTCTACTCGAGCGACACTTCTTACGCTCA